CCTCTCTGTATATCCGCCTTTCCAATGAAAAAAAATAATAAAAATAAATCTTAAAAAAAAAAAAGAAAGATTTCTCTACAAACTTTTGATTTGGAAACCATATCATGCATTTTTTTAAAAAAATTATTTTTAGCAGGCTGTGTGTATTACACATAAAAAAGTATAAGACTTCAGGCTCCATTGGAGAACCATGATTTTCCTTGCACCATACCCTTTAGATCAGCAATTGGCAAACATTTCCATAAAGGATCAGATAGTAAATGCTTTAAGTTTTGTGTGTCTGTCAATTCTCCTTATGTAGTACAAAAACAGTCACAGCCACCAACAAGAGGTACAAGAATGAATGCAACTGGGCCCGGCGGGGTGGCCTAGTAGCTAAACTCCTCGCCTTGAACGCATTGGGATTCCATATGGGCGCCGGTTCTAATCTGGGCAGCTTCACTTCCCATCCAGCTCCCTGCTTGTGGCCTGGGAAAGCAGTCAAAGATGGCCCAAAGCCTTGGGACCCTGCACCCACATGGAGGAAGCTCGTGGCTCCTGGCTTTGGATCGGCACAGCACCGGCCATTGCGCTCACTTGGGGAGTGAATCATTGGATGGAAGATCTTCCTCTCTGTCTCTCCTCCTCTCTGTATATCTGACTTTGTAATAAAAATAAATAAAAATCTTTAAAAAAAAAAAAAGAATGAATGCAACTGTTCCAATGAAGTTTTATTTATAAAACAAATGAGCTTTGGGCCCTGCATCGTAGCCTAGTGGATAAAGTCCTTGCTTTTCTTGCACGCACTGGGATCCAATATGAGCACTGGTTCCTATCCAGGTGGTCCCACTTCCCATCCAGCTCCCTGCTTGTGGCCTGAGAAATCAGTAGGGGATGGCCCAAAGCCTTGGGACCCTGCACCTGCACGGGAGACCCAGAAGAGGCTCCTGGCTCCTGGCTTTGGATCAGCTCAGCTCCAGCCATTGTGGCCATTTGGGGAGTGAACCAGCATATGGGAAGATCTTTCTATCTCCTTCTCTATGTAAATCTGGTTTTCTAATAAAAACAAATAAATCTTTTTTTAAAAAAAGTAACTTGAATGTTTTTTGGTCTCAAGACATTACAACAATATGTACTGGTGCAAATAAACTCAAAAACTGCTACTCCAGAAATGTAGATCATCTAAATGAACTAAACAATGACTTTTTTTTTCATTAAATATGCTTCAGGGTGAGTACTATGTCTCATCACCCTGTCCTGAAGCATTGATGTTGAGAGAATTCCCTGCAGAGTTGGTCTGAAAAAGTTTAGTTTCTTGGCTTCAACCTCTAGCTGGAGACATTTATTTTCACTCCTTAGAATGATCCTATCATATGAACAGCAAGCATAGTGTCCCCGAGAGAAAATGAATCAAAACTCATCTGTTTGTTGTCTAGAAGAGACACATTTCACCAACAAAAATCAGCAGAAACTATATCACATGGCTTTTGGCTCTTGATGTTTTATTTTAGTTTCATCTCTTCAAAACACTTTCTTCTGATTAAATTCTCCAATGACTCACAGATCATACAGTAGCATCATTTTCTTCAAGAAGGTTCTTGATTTTCATTTCTTCAGCTACACATTAGTCATTCAGTAGCATGTTATTTAACTTCATGGTGGTATTAATTTCTTTTTTCTCCCTGATGTTGATTTTGTTTGTGGCTTTTCATTTAAGGGATGTATAGTAGTTGTGTAATGGAGACTGTCATATCTAGTAACATGTCATTTAACTTCATGGCATTGTAAATTTCTATTTTTCTTTCTATTGTTGATTTTGTATTATGACTTTTCATTTGAGGGGATGTACAGTAACTGTGAAATGGAGACTAACATCTCCAGATGTGAGGATACAATGTAGTATGCATCTCTACTTCCAGACAATGATGGACTTACGATGAAACTGTTTACTATATCTTGACAATAGGATGCTGGACTCTCTGTGATTGTCCATGCCCGCAGTGATGGATATATGACTGTGTATGAAGAACTACACTTTAGTAACGATATGGAGGAACTAAGTTGGGGAGGGAATTGGGGAGGGGATAAGGGAAATCCCAGGAGCCTATGGAACTGTATCATAAAATGATAATAATAATAATAATATAATGTAAAAAAAGAGAGAAAATGAATCAAAGCAGTAGGTCTGTTTTCAAAGTGTGTTCCTGCTCAAAAAAGAAGGCAAGCTTAATATTTAATAATCAGGCTCAAAAATTAACTCTAGAATCAAGTTGTATCAACTCAATTTTCCAGCTTCTCACAGCATCCTTCTCAGAGCAAGTGATACTGATAGAGCCCCAGGGATAGAGAGCAGGCCCCACATGGAAGCCGAAACTATAGGACGCTCGCACATGGTCCTCTCTGAAAACACGTACTATCAAAACACTATGCTTGGATCTCAAAAATACATACACCACAAAGAAATCTTTTCATTCATTTTTTCCATGAATATTTAGAATTACCTTTCCATAATTTGCTCAACATCTTTCTGAGATACTCATAGACATGGATGTTAAAAGAAAAGAAGAGAAAGACAAGAAAAAAAGAAAAGAAAAGCAAAAGCCACTTATAATGGAATTCAGGAGCACTACTCCAAAATGAGGTACTTACCTTTGGTAGCTGTTCATGACTTTAACCAAAGTCTCCAAGGGGAGTCACATAGGAAGGAAGGCAGTTCATTCTGGCTTACAGTTCAAGGCCCACAGTCCAAGATTTGGGGCCCCTTCTGTTCAGCCATCTAAGAAAGCTGGAGAACAGCACAGAACAGTTACATGGTGAAGCAGGAAGCACAGATTCACAGGACTAACATTACTTGTAGAAGCAATCTTTTCAAGAGTACAATGGCAGGGTGGGCACTGCAAGACAGCAAGCTAGCATCCCCTGTCAGAGCGCAGGCTCCAAGCCTCAGCTACTCCATGTTTCAGAGCCAGCTTCCTCCCAAGCCCCCATTGTCCTAGTCCTGCCTTTGAACAGAGTAAAACAGACTAAATGCGCCAGTTCCAAAGTCCTTATTGAGATTCATTTTGAGAACCTAAAACCCATGGTATTCTACAAACTTGTCTTACAGGTTTGCAGTCCCAGCCTAAGTGGACTATCAACCCCCAGCACCCAACATAGGCCAGAGCCTCCTTCCAGAGCAAGGCCTGGATCCAAGGGCCAGGAAGCATACAGACGTGTCCTTTGCTTCATTTTCATGCTTAACTCTGGCCCCAGGAGCAGCTTAAGCATCATGATCACCAAATGCCACCTACGTTTGTGCCTGTTTCTAAACTGCACCTGCATGGCCTCATCCGCAAACCCAGATGCAATGACAAGAACTTCCCCTCTTATGTACTCATTTTCCCCTAAGTTAAATACCTATTTTGCCTGCGTGGATGGGCAGGGGGCGGGAGAGACAGAGGTCACAGCTTTGAAATGATTCCTCCATGTTCTCCTCGTTTGCTGCAAATGAATTCCCTTGTGTGACAACTCTTTCTGGTGTGTTTCTTAACAATGTGCTAGAAAACAGGCCCTAAATTTTGGATAGGTAACAATATCACAATTACAATTAAACCCTTCTTTCCCTATATGCTTGGTTAAACCCAACGGTCCTCCAAAACAGTGAGGTATAACAAGATAGCTTGCCGCCCCCCACCTACTCTGAGCACCTGACTATGTTTGGCTCGTGCCGGGGGATCCAAGACACCTTTGTTGAATTAATGACTTAATTAATGGCTGAGAGTAACTGTTGAGGTACTCACATCCCACCGCTGCTCCAGGAATAAAGCGGCCAGGCTGCTACCATTTTCCTGGATTCCAAGTTCAAGCTGAGTTTCCAAAAAGGAAAACATCAGGAAGCAGCAAAAGTCTGGTCGTTGTTTCTTAAGTACCATTTGTTCTTGTCCTATTTGTGTGTACATCATTAGCTAACAGAAAAGCTCTCTGCTATAAGTGATTTTAGAAATTGTAATCATTAAAATTGAAAACTTTCATTTAAACCAAACTACCCCTTCGTGGTGTGAAGGCACCCCCTTCTGCGATCCCAGCCCTCTCTCCGTGAGACCTAGTCCAGCTTTCAACTTACCTTGTGAGCTTTTCATTTCAAGCCTCTTGTGATCTTCAAGCTATAATTTTCACAAGTGGATCCCAGAAATGCTTTTAATATTTTTGTTTACCAGAATCACTTATTTTATTTCTGCATATGTTGGGTAGACGAATTTTCAGCAATGCTGGTGTTACAACACTCAAAAAAAAGTTTGAAGGCCAAAACAACTACCAAAAAAGAGAACTGAGCAATTACAATATTTACATTAGCATTGGAAAGCTTAAACATAGACAATAAATCAAACATTGCAATCACATTTAACAGGGAAAATTAAGAAGTGAACTAGGGAAGATTAAATGGGCTATGAGAGGGGTGCAGAGTTGGAGACAATCTTTATTTTAAAACTCAATATTTGGTTCATTGTGATTTTTTTTTAAATACTACATCGAAGTGCAGGCATTGCAGCCCAGAGTTAAGCCACCGTGAACGGTGAGTGGAGTCCCAGTTGCTTTGCTTCTGATCCAGCTTCCTGCTTATGGGCTTAGGAAAGCAATAAATGATGGCCCAAGTGTTTGAACAGCGCTCCTGCATGTGGCAAGCCTGGGTCCAGTTGCAGTTTGATGGCATGGCCTGGCCCAGCCCCAGTTGCTATGGGCATTTGGGGAGTAAACCGGAGTGGATAGGTGGCATGTTCTCTCAGCCTCTGTCTCTCTCTCTGCCTGTCAAATATATACATTTTTGGAGTTTCATTGAATTATTACAGATTCTTCCTTGAAAGGTAAGCAGAATTACCATATGACACAACAATTTTACTCCTAGGTATATAATCCCCAAAGAATGAAAAGCAGATATAAATTCTTGCATGTGAATGTTCACAGCAGCTCTTACTCTAGTCGTTAGAGGCAGAAACAACCCAAATGCCCAGCCAAAGATGAAAAGATAAGCGACTTATGGTAGATGCAGAAAATGGACTTTTATTCAGTTATAAAAAGGGATGCCATTCTGATACATGCTACAACAGAATTGAACCTTGAAACCATTATGCCACATGAAAAAAAAAAACAGACCAAAAAGGCCACACATATTGCCAGATTCCACATATACGAATTATTCATAATAGGAAAATCCATGGAAATAAAAGGCAATTGGTGGTTGCCAAAGGATGGGGAATGGAAAACAACAAGTAACGGGTATAGGGGTTTATTTTGAAGTGATGAAACTGTCTTGGAAACAGATAATGATGGTGGTTGTACATCAGTGAATGCTATTAACTGTTCAGTTTAACATGGCTAGTTCTATGTTATGTGAATTCACCTCAAAAGAATATATATATAATTGACCTTAATTCCTGAGCTGTTTTTTTAAATGTCTTTTAATTTTATACTTGCGAGGAAGGCCATTTTTTAACAGTGCACATTCTTGCGCCTCTTAAGTTTTCGTTTGAACAACATGGCAGAAATTAGAATAACCATGAGCCACACACAAATGTGTGCTTGAACTCCAGGTAACAAACTAATTTCGGACTCAAAATTAGTGCCTCCATCTACCCTGCCAACCTGTCCCATACAGCACCGCGATGGCCCAGTTACCAAGACCCCTTGCTCATCATCTTGGCATCGTGACACCCTGGACAAAACACACTTTCTCCCCCACGAGATTGTTGGGAGAAATTTAATTGACTGCAGAAATTTGTGACAACCAAAGACTGCCCCTGGGACAGAAAAGAAAAATACCCTGTTGGTGTTGGCTCTTGGAGGCATGTGTTTTGAGATGCCCTTTGAGACTTTGGATCCCATGGCTGGTAGAGAACAGGGTCAGTCTATAACAGTACAGTGATTTCTTCGTACTGTTCTTGCATCTTGATTTCAATTACTCCAGAGGCTGAAAACCACAAAGCAGAATGTGAGCATTAATAAGGTCAGAACCAACAATATGAGCCTGCAGACTATTTCCTGCTAAACTGTACACCACTTGGGATTACTGCTCAAGGTCTCATATTTGAGGCAAACCTACACGGATATAGTTAAGCTTCCTTCCAATGACAAGGAACACACTGCCTCTTACTGAACCATGAAGACAGCTCACGCAGGACACATTTTCTAAAAACTATTGTCCCTGCTGAAGAGTGGCAGGTCCCATTCAAGGCCTGCCCTGCCTTCCACGGTAATCCCAGGCAGCACGTGTCACTGAATATGGCTTCAGTGAGCTATACAGGCCACTGTTAGCTTTCAATAGAGCCAAGAGGAAAATAAGCTAAACCAGGAAACACCAAGTTCATCTCTTGCCAATCTTTATAAACAAAATATTACTGTATTTTATAAAAATCCAAGCAAAGCTGTTTTTCTGTAAGTGAGCCAGACTTTGGGGGACATCAACAATTTTTAATTTCATTTCTACATTCACTTTTTAAAAATTATTTACTTATTTGAAAGGCAGAGTTACAGAGGGAGGCAGGGAGGAAGAGACAGAAAGGAAGGGAGGGAGAAAGAAAGAATCTCCACCCACTGATTCATTCCCTAAATGGCTACAGCCAAGACAGGCCAAAGCAGGAGACTGGAACTTTATCCAGGTCTTCCACATGGGTGCAGGACCCCAAACACTTGGGCCATCCTCTATTGCTTTCCCAGGTGCACTAGCAGGAAACTGGATCAGAAGTGGAGCAACTGGGACATGAAGCAGCATTCACATAGTATGTCAGCATTGTAGATGGTGGCTTTACCTCCTATACCACAATGTCAGTCATACTTTTATTCTTTTAAGATTGATTAATTTGAATGGCAGACTGACAGAGACAAAGAGGGAGAGAAGGACAAAGATTTTCCATTTGTTAGTTCATTCTCCAAATGGCCACAACAGCCAGGGCTGGGCCAGGCTAAAGCCAGGAGCCTGAAACTTCATACAATTTCCCATGGATGGCAGGAAAACTTGGACGTTGGACCTTCATCTATTGTTTTCTCAAGTGCATTAGCGGGAAGCTGGATCAGAAGCAGAGCACCTGGGACTTGAACCAGTGCTCCCATATGAGATGCCAGCATCACAAAGTGGCACCTTAACATACCACCACACTAGTCCTAGCAAATCCTAAAAAATATTATATTATTAGAACTTATCTATGCCTGTCCATGTGCATATTGTTTGTGGTCGCTTTCTTACCATGATGGCAGAGTTGAGTGACTTCAACAGAGACTGCAGGGTCCCAAGCCTAAAATATCTTTATTGGCCCTACAGAAAAAGTCTGCAACCTCTGATCCAGACTAGTATAATCCCAAACAATAAAGCCTTCAGTATCTATTACAGGGTGCACTCTGCTTTCCCCAAAAGAGAACTCTTGATGATGCCATGGGTCAAGTCTGTCTTGCAAACTGTGTCTGTGAGACAGTCCACACTCAGAGGTGCCACATTACCTGTGCAGGAGGCCACCATCTTTCTGAGTCACACATCCAGCTCAATTCATTTCCAAGTCAACTATCCCGGGATCTGAATAGCTGTCATCGCTGACATCACTGTACCTGTCACTAGAGCAGAAGATTGACTTTAGGAAGATAGTGTTTAAAATCTTGGATGATTAGTCCACTTGTAGTCTCAAATACTTTCCATAATTAGCCCCCACACAGAAAACAACAACAACACTACTGAGGGATATTGTATTATCACTGTCCAGTCACCAGCAAGAGGTCAGTCCAACCATGCACAGTGGCCCCTTGACACCTGCTCTGATGGTAAACTGAAGCTACTCATTCAGAAAAGTTCAAAATGCATTCCCATGCAAGTGAAATTTTTTTATCTTCTGAAGATCACTGATCATTTATAAAGTTAAAAACAAAAAGAGGTAGAAGTCTTGGAAGTGAGGGACTCTTTTGCCTCCTTTATTGCCTACTTTTTTTTTAATGTATCTTTTTTATTTTAAAGGCAGATTTACACAGCGAAAGAGAAAGAGAAAGATCTTCCATCTGCCGACTCACTCCCCAAGCAGCCACAACGGCTAGAATTGAGCCAAACCAAAGCCAGAGGCCAGGAGCTTCTTCTGAGTCTCCCATGCGGGAGCAGGGTTCCACGGTTTTGGGCCATCTTCAACCGTTTTCCCAGGCCACAAGTAGGGGAGCTGGACGGCAAGTGCAGCAGCCGGGATATGAACTGGTGGCCATGTGGGATCCTGGCCATGTAATACAAGGACTTAAGCCAATAGACTACCATGCCAGTCCCTACTGTGAACTTTTTACTCAAGCTATTAAATTAACAAATTGATTACAAATTAAAGCCTGAGGTGACAACTTATTCATTTTCTGTGAATCTGCTCTTATCATCCTAGGAGCAAATTGACACTGCATCTGAGATTGAGCACTATGGAGTCCCAGCCTTTACTGCCTTCAATTTGTTCTCAAGGTCAGTAACCTCACGTAGAATTTCAGCTGCATGCTCAGCCTTTGTCATTTCTAACCCTTCACATGACAACTGCTGCCTCTGGCAATGACAAAACTCAGGAAACACTACCCTCAAAATAGGGTGTTTTAGTAGAGTGACAGTTGTAGCCGAAGGAATTGGAGAGCATGCATGCAAGCCCTGCTCACCTCCCCTGAAACAGAGCACAGGTACCTCAGGTGCCTGCCCTCTCTCCAAGTTCGTTCTACCCTATCATATTTCTCCGTGACTCTGTACTCTTAATCGAAGACACCATTAAAAAACTACTAGGGTCTACCTACTTTCTCAGCTCCTTATCCCCTGATGTGGGCTCCCATGTCACATACAATACACATGAAATAAATCTGTAGACTTTTCCATTTTTACCTGGGCTTTTGTTACAGGGGCCTTGGCCAGGTACGTTAACATCATCCCTCTAGCAACACAGAAAGACTCAGGAACAGTAAAGACAGCTATACATCTGATGGCCTAGGCAAATGCTCTCGTTTGTTTTAGGAGCACAGCAGAACTGAGCACCCCCAGGTACTCAGTGGTGTTTGCCACTGTGTTTGAAATCATAGCAGCCTCTCATTACGGTCATCCAGGTCTACTGGAGGATAGGGTCATTAGGACTAAAGCATGTATGTGGCCTCAAGACCCTAGATACATGCAGTAGCACACATCCAAAATATGAATGTACCCTCTATATTCACCTTGAAATTCTATCCTCTTTGGATCTGCTTTCAGTACAGTCAGCAGCATGACAATTTCCCATTGCAGCCTACCTTCTCAGAGATCAAGAGAAGCAACTTCTGTGGTGCAATTTTTAAATTAGAAATATATGGCATAGTCAGATTACCTTAAGTCACTTATGGTATCTAAAATAAGATGATTGACATATATGTCATGTTTGATCCCCTTAGAAATAAAGCCTTTAAGAGGTCAGCATAAGATATTGCTATAGTCGGGGTTCGTTTCCACCTCCAGATCTGCCAATACATTCCCTGGGACGTAGGTAACAGCTCAGATAATGGGGTCATTATCACCCACATGAGAAACTTGGGCTACATTCCTAGTTCCCAGTTTGGATCCCCAAGTATTATAGGTGTTTGGGAAGTGAACCAGCAGATGGGAACATTTACATGTGCATTCTCTCCTTCTCAAATAAATACTTAAAAAAAAAATAGGCACATCTTTATGAGTTAATTGAGTTTTCACTCTAAGCCATAGCCTCATTTGGGGACCCTCTTGCTGAGTTCCAAGTAAATCAGCACATTCATCAACTTCATTTAAGTTCTATCCATCTATGGAGACAACATAACCAGGAAGTGTTTCATGCATGACCCATGCCTAGCACTAGCCAAGTTTCCAATGGCTTGTAGCAATAAATGTCTGAATTCCTTAATTAACAGATACAATTACACTTTTTTAAAAAAACAGAATAGAGAGACCACTTAGAGGAACACTAGGCTGACAAGCTAGAAAACAAAAGTTCCACTTCGCACATAGTAAGTAGCAATAAATAAAAGTAAGTAGCAATAAATAAAGACCGCCATAAAAAGCTTTTTGGTTCACATGCTCTCTCTTCTCCATGGCTGTTGACAAAACATCATAGGCAGATGGTGGGCAGTAGAGTAGAAGGGAGGAGATAGCAGAAAATTAAGGATTGGCAAAAGGGATGTGCATTTGACTGAGAAGCCGACACTTAAGACGCCTGCCTCCTTATCAGTGTGCCTGAGTTGACTCCATTCTAATTTCAGCTTCCTGCTACTGGGCACCTTGGAAAGCAGTAGGTAACAGCCCATGTTCGGCAAATCCCTGACACCCAGGTGGGTTACTCACACTGAGTTGTGGGTTCCTGGCTTTGGCCTGGCCCAGCCCTAACTGTTATAGACATCTGAGTAGTAAGCCTGCAGATAGAAGAGCCCCCCCTGTCTGTTTCAAATAAATGAGGAACACAATAACATTTAGAAAATAATTGGTTAAAAAAGACATTTTTAGAAATGAAAGGAGTTCTCAAGGAGTTTATGAGAAAAACATAATATTAAAAAACTATGGATGAATCTCAGGTTGCTTTGTATTATAATAAATTTATCTTTTAACTCCATTTCTCACAGACTTTTTGAAGTATGCTTGTATATATAAAACATTTCCTGAAAATTCATCAGTTAAAGATAGGGTCTATTTAGACTTTAGTTAAAAAAAAAAAAATTTCTACTATTACTTAAGAAGAAGTAAAGACTATTTAAAAAACTGCCTACCAAATTGATATATACGTATCTCTAGACTCTGACTATGTAAACGTTGACTCCATTAGCTTCTGTACAACATTTCGTGTCAGAGAATTAGCACAATTAGAAGTTGTACTCAAGAAATGGAGGTCAAGGGTATCAGGTGACTCATTTGGCTCATCTATTGAAGGTGAGGCAGAGTTCCCATCATACTAATCAGGTTACAAGTTCAGGGAAGAATAAGGTGAGCTCATGTCTTTCACCACACTCCTGCTTATATTATTCGCCATGTGCCTTTGAACAGGCCATTTGACTCCTGTAAGTCTAGAAAAAAATAGCAATAATACCTACAAAGTCACCAGAAACAGTATTAAGGTCAAAAGAGAGTACATAAAGTCTTTCTGAAAACTATCTAAAATATATTAATTGCTGGTATTTCTGATATTATACTTATTCATAACAGAGGATCTATGCTTAAAAGCCATGGAAACATAAAGAACCAATGAAATTGTTAAGTGCTTACTTTTCCAAATCCTTTCTTGCACCAAGTATAATTCGCTATTCATACTAGCAAGGGGACCCAGATAAGTGTATTTCTAACCTCATGGATCTCATTTCCTATCTGGAGGCTGTCTGCCCCAAACTGCCAGCCATCAAAATGGCACCAATTGAGCCCAACAAAATGAGGCTTAGCCTGAGTTTATTCATCGCCAAGGTTAATGACTGGGTTCACTAATTTTTTTTCATATGTGTTTAGAGACCCAAGGCAGGACAAGAAAACAAACCATGACACTCAAGAAAAAGACTTGTGAAAATATGCATCACTGCAAAAGCTCGCTGATTTGAGTGAGGGCAGTCTTCCGCCAGCAAAAATATAAAAGAGCAAGAAACAAAATGCGGGTCAGCGAGTGGAAATAGAACAGGCTATGACCATGGCTGCTACTCAGGGCTACAGATGACTTACCTTAGTTTTGCTTCACATAGAACAGACTAAAAGCAAGTCATCAGAGGTGGCCATTGGGCGCAACGGTAAGGACACCTGCATCCCACACTGGGGTGCCTGGATTCCATTCCTAGCTTCAGCTCCTGACTCTGCTTCCTGTCAGTGTGAACTCTGGGACACTGCAGTGGTGACTGCATTCATCCCCCTAGGAGACCGAGTCTGAGTTCTTGGTTCCTGCCTCTGGCAGTAGCCCAGTCCCAGGTTCATGGGCATGTTTGGTGAGCAAACCAGAGAAGTGTGTATCTTATCTGTCTCTCCATTTTTAAAAAAAATTTAATTTAAAAAGTCATAACCTAGACTAATCTGGTTTTATTTTCACTTAGAGATATCACAGCTCTATCTTAAAATAAAGCTGTCTTAATATGCAATCTTCTGTTTACAGGTTTATTACTGCAAAGAATGAGCAGATGAAGGGTCACAAAATACAGACACTCATGATTATTGTTATATTTGAGGAAGAGAAAGTTTTAAAGTTTCAGTGTCCAATATGGCTGCCTAAATTTAAGTTAAAATCAAATAAAACACCTAATTCTAGACCAAGCATGATAGCCTAGCAGCTAAAGTCCTCACCTTGTACACACCAAGATCCCATATGGGCATCGGTTTGTACCCTGGCTGCTCCACTTCCCATCCAGCTCCCTGCCTGTGGCCTGGGAAAGCAGTGGAGGATGGCCCAAAGCCTTGGGACCCTGTACCCACGTGGGAGACCTGGAAGAAGCTCCTGGCTCCTGGCTTCAGATCAGTGCAGCTCCAGCCATTGCGGCCACTTGGGGAATAAATCAATGCATGAAAGATCTTCCTCTCTGTCTCTCCTCCTCTCTGTATATCTTACTTTCTAATACAAATAAAATAAATCTTAAAAAACTAAATAAAATAAAATATA